ATGAGTTCATGCCCAATGGTTCACTTGAGAAGTTCATCTACAAAGAAAATTCTTTGAAAACCACTCCACACTTGGAACTGGAAAAACTATTTGAAATTGCTATTGGGATAGCTCGAGGGCTTGAGTACTTGCACCGTGGATGCAACACACGGGGAGCTCTGTGGGCCATGCATGCGCTCTAATGGAACCTGCGGATCCAACACCAACACTGACTCTTTTCTCTGCTTTTGCGGGGGCCATCCTTATGAGGAAACCTGTCCAAATTCTGGAGGTACGCATGTCAGTTCCTTCTTATTTTTCCCTGTTCATAATTTTCCTGGTTTAGCCTTTTTTAGTTTGGAGTTTCCATTAATTAGTCAGAATTTGGAGATACCACTTCAGATTACGAACTTTTAATTAGAAATGGGATGGCTGAATAAGTTGTAATTAACCCCCCATAGAAGAAATGATTAGTTAAGTAATTATAATTACAGAGAACTAAAACGTATGATCCTTTTGTCTGTCCCAAGTCATTCTCTTCGCTCTGCTTTAGCCTCTACCTCATCAACAAGTTTTGTTATCTTTGCTCTGTTTTTATTTCATCTTGAATTTGTTGGTTAATTAGAGCCTTTTCCTATTCCATTTCCATCTGAATTCAGATATTGGTTGCATATAAACCTTCCCTGAGTGAACATAGACACCAGAAGTGATGCTATTTGACTGGTTACCCTTCCCCGTTGATAAAATAAAAATAAAATAAGGACAACCCATAAGGTCTGCTAACATGGTTGGTAAATGCCACGTATGCATTGACCGGGTCAACGGTCCACCAGAGAATAATGGAATTCAATAAGGCGTCTGTTGATTTCAAATAGTTCACACTGCTGCACGCCAACCTTGGCCCCATAATAATAAGTCCGCATACAATTTCTCCACTTCTGATAGAGATTAGGTTTACTGGTGCAAGATTACTATTACGTTAAACTACAAGTAGTTAAGAACAGTTAACCTTGCACTTGAGGTCTCGTATTTGAATCCCCTATTCCCAGTAATGTTTGTAACTAATTTTTGTTGGTCAAGATAGGAATTAGAGTTAAGTATGTGATAATTTATTATGGGTTTGATTTGATCACATTGAATAACGAATTATTCAGGAACATAATTAGGATGCCAATATTATACTACTAGTCATGTTGCCAGGTGAAAATGAAATCCAGTACAAGTCTTCGATTAAGTGCACATCTCCATCATCTTGGACTTGGATCAATAGTTTCTCTCCGTGTTACTTTTAGCCCAAACAAAGTCTCTGTCTACACTTTCGGTTCAACCAACCACAACTCTCAAAGCAAAGTCGTCCACCAAAGTCTCTAGTGCTGCACCACTCGTTCCTTTAGAAATTCACCGAATTTTGGTTTTCCTCTTTCTTATTTTCTTCGGGTATTTAGCATTGATTTTTTCCAAATCCCATTCCTTTTAATAATAATAAAAAAGAAAAAAGAAAGGCCAGCAGCAGATGGTATGCCAAAATTATATATACTTACACTAAATATCGCTGAATAATTAGTGGCGCTTCTATTTTTCTCTTTGACTAGGAAAACATTTTCTGTCTAAATTGTTGTACTTGGTTTTGAAATTTCCAGCATTTGCCGAATTTTATACGAAAAAGCCACTAAACTTTGAAAACGATGTCTTATTTTGTATGATTCTCTCTTATGATCCTGTGTGGGTAACTTCCCACCAAAAGCTGTCATCATTTGTGGACGGTGTTGCTCCTTTGCCATGAAATAATCGACTAGTTATACGTTTCCCATGGCATGGAGGATGCACTTCTATCACTTCTGTCAAAATCTATTTTTAATGCTTTTTGCTTTGTAAGTCCTTGCTGTTGCTTAAGCCATTGGTTTGTTTAGTCAAGTCTCCTGTTTTTCAAACTCCAATCATAGAATCAGACGCCTACTACCAAGAATTTTCCACCATCTGTTCATTTCCAACTCTCATTAATTTCACCATATGCTTTCTTCTCTGTTTCTTGATCATCCACTCCAAATGTATCTCCTCCTCCAAAGCCACTTCAAGGGCAAAATACCTTTCCATGTATGTATTATCACCATCATCTTCACAACCTTAGCCAAGCGAACTTCCTCTCTAGACCGAAGCTACGAGGCCTGCAAGCCTCAAACATGTGGAAATGGTCCGAATATAAGCTACCCCTTTTGGCTTTCTGATCGACAAGAGTCCTTCTGTGGCTACCCGAGCTTCAAGATCGCCTGCGATGGAGAAAATCCAGTACTTAGTATTTCCGACGATGATTATATCATTAAAGATATCTTCTACTCAAACCATTCATTCGTGCTGGCTAACGCTGTTGTGTATCGTGATAAATGTCCACGCCCTCTGCACAACTTTAGCCTTGATCGAACACCTTTCAGTTGTAGTTCTTCTGATCATATTGATTTTTCCTTCTTCTACAATTGCGACAAAGAGCCTAAAGAGAACATGCATCCATATCCAATTGACTGTGCTAGCAATGCCAGCCATCATTCATTTGCTATTTTCCACAAGGAGGTAGTGGAGGACATGAACTACTCATGCCTGTCTCCGGTGAATTTGCCTGTTGATGTGGCTGTTGGTGTCGAGGCCTTGTTGCAAATGAACTACACTGAAATCTTGAAGTTGGGGTTTCTTTTGAATTGGACTGCACAAAATTGCAGCAAATGTGAGAAGAGTAGCGGGCGCTGTGGATTCAAAAACAATGAATTTGTCTGTTTTTGCAGCGACCGGCCTCGTTCCCAAACCTGTGACCATGGTACTTCTGTAGAAGCATCACTATTAGTAATTCTTTAAATTTTCAAAAAACAGCAGTGGAGGCTTCTTCTGTAGTATTTGCAAGGTTTATAATCCATCAGCATGAATAGCTGGTTTAGACAACGAACGAGATCAGTTGGATTAATTAAATGTTATGATGTTATGTTTGGTTTTACCCCTAAAGTTTGTATCACTTATATTCTAAGAATTTTGCTTCTTTAATTGCTTTTGCAGACAATTCGTGGAACTGGAAAAGAAAGATTGTTATAGGTAATATATCAGCAACCTCCTCCTTTCCTTCAGTTGTTTGATGTTCTACCACATTTCCCAATTAGATTATATTCACTCGTCATCTATTCATGAATTGCCATCTCTGATCTCTCCCTTGTCCCCAGGTGTTTGCACAGCTGTTGCTACTGTACTTATAATGTGTGTTGTGTTCTTTGTATACCAACGCCGCAACAGAAAACAATATGCTCCATCATCCTTTGTATCTCGAAGCATCTTTTCTAAACAAACTTCCATGGATGATATGGAGAAGGGGAGTACCTACCTTGGAGTGCATTTGTTCACATATAGGGAACTTGAAGAAGCAACTAATTATTTTGATTCAGCCAAAGAACTCGGTGATGGAGGCTTTGGCACAGTGTATCATGGTAACAGCTTACACCCTTTTATCCTTAAAATCACTCAGTTTTGTTAAGCATTTTATGAAACTTGTTATTCTTAATTTGTAAATTTCTTATACAGGAAATGTCCGTGATGGGAGAGCCGTTGCAGTCAAGCGTCTATATGAAAACAATTGCAAGAGAGTTGAGCAGTTCATGAATGAAATTGAGATTTTAGCTCGCCTGCGACACCAAAATCTTGTCTTGCTCTATGGTTGCACCTCTCGCCACAGCCGTGAACTCCTCCTTGTATATGAATACATTCCTAATGGAACTCTTGCTGAGCATCTTCATGGTGAAAGAGCAAAACCTGGTGCACTGCCATGGCTTACTCGAATGAACATTGCCATAGAAACTGCAAGTGCATTGTCATATCTTCATGCATCTGATATTATCCACCGTGACGTGAAAACGACGAATATTCTCCTTGACAACAACTTCTGTGTCAAAGTAGCGGACTTTGGACTATCTCGCCTCTTCCCCACGGATGTCACCCACATCTCAACTGCTCCACAAGGAACTCCAGGTTATGTTGATCCTGAGTATAACCAATGCTACCAGCTTACTAGTAAGAGTGATGTCTATAGCTTTGGGGTGGTCATGATTGAGCTCATATCATCCCTGCCTGCTGTTGATATCACAAGGCATCGACATGAGATCAATTTGTCGAACATGGCTATCAACAAGATTCAAAACCATGCGTTGCATGAGCTAGTAGACACATGCCTAGGGTTTGAATCAGACTACAGAATAAGAAAAATGATAATTGCAGTGGCAGAATTAGCATTTCGGTGCCTGCAAAGTGACAAGGACGTGAGACCTTCTATGCCTGATGTGCTAGATGAGCTAAAGAGGATACAGAGTAAGGATTTTGATAAAGAAAAGGCAGAGGAGATTGATATTTCAACTGATGATGTTGTGTTGTTAAAGAGTGATCCACTGCCTCCCCCCCTAGATTCTCTGGCATTAAATTGGATTAGCAGCTCTACAACACCGAATGGTAGCGGTTAAAGTTTTTCCTTGTCAATTTTCTAAGTTTACCATACGCCAAATGTCATGGCTTTCATTTCCTATTCATGTACAAAACTTGTGATTTTGCTGAATGAGTTGTAGATATTATGTGAGAGCCGACAGAGGTATGCTAAGGTCCCATGTATAGTGCAGTTAGGCTACATGGTTGATCTGTTTTCTTTCAACCAGCTAATATTTTTAACAATTTAATTGTTTATTCGTTAAATGCGTTGTCTATTAGCAAGTCATCTAGTAAAGACAAATTTCCTTAAATCATACAATTCCAGAAATCAAAGCTGACTGAAACAGAACTGCAAAACAAACTACATTGACATGCTGATGATGGATAATATGATAACATCTGAGCTGTAACTCCAATTGGCATTCGGCTGTTTGCTTTAGAACCAAGTTGGGATCAACACATAGACAAAACTGAAACCTACTCACTGGAGTCCCAATTGTTCTGCACCTCAGTTCAAATATCCTGCAGTTTAGCCTTCAATTCAATGTCTAGAAAATGCAGTTGGCAAATCTGTAGTTCATCATAAGTTCTTCTACATTCAAAATAGTGCTTTTAGGAAAGGTTAGCTCTCATATGAGCAACAAAGTACTAAACAAGATAGAGCTATGACCAAAAAGAAAAAAGTGAAGCGGAAAATCTTATTAGAATGACTTTAAATTGACTAGGAACTGAATCACCCAAAACACGTACAGTACACCAATTAATCTAGAAAATATATTAACAAATAAGTGATGATAAGGTGTTAGATTCTGATTCTGCTGGTGTTCTTATAGGAGTAGTTAGAACAGGCTTTGGTGGTATTTGCAAGGCTTCAATGCTTCCTTTCAGCATTTCAATTACTTTACTCATGGATGGCCTGTCTGATGGTTTTGTCTGTATGCACCACAACCCCACCAAAATCATCTTCCTTGCAAGTTCATTTTCCTCTTGGGTCATAGGATTGGGCAATCCTAAATTGCTGCTTCCCTGCTCTAGATGCTTATAAATCCAATCCGGGAAATAAGTATCAGTGGTGTGGCTCACTTGAACATCATTGTTCTTTCTTCCTCCAACCACCTCCAGAATCATCATTCCGTAACTATAGACATCGGACTTAACAGAGACTCCTCCAAAGTTTCTACAGAACACTTCTGGAGCTATGTACCCTATTGTCCCTCTTGCATCCAACATCGACATAATACTCTCCTTCTTCAGACAAACTTTAGAAAGCCCAAAGTCAGAAATCTTTGGGCAAAAGTTGTCATCCAAAAGGATATTATGTGGTTTTATGTCAAAATGCAAAATTCGTGTGTTGCATCCACGGTGCAAGTACTCAAGCCCTCGAGCTATCCCAATAGCAATTTCAAATAGTTTTTCCAGTTCCAAGTGTGGAGTGGTTTTCAAAGAATTTTCTTTGTAGATGAACTTCTCAAGTGAACCATTGGGCATGAACTCATATATGAGAGCTTTTTTCTTACCTTCAAAGCAATACCCCAACAGAGTGACAACATTAACATGGGAAGTTCTACTAATGCTTGCAACCTCGTTTATGAAGTCTTCTCCATTCCCTTTGGATGCATTTAGAACCTTCACAGCCACAAGACAACCATCCCGTAGCTTACCTTTGTACACATCACCATAACCCCCTTGACCCAGTTTATCTTTAAATGAGTTAGTCATTTTTCTGATATCCGAAAATTTGTATCTTTTTACCGCTAGAGGTCCATTGTTCTGAATGAAGGCCTCAAGATCTTGATGGCTCTTTGTCCTCATGAAAGTTTGCATCCTACTTTTAATACAAACGATAACACAGTAAGATCCCACTTCCTGCAGCAGCGGCAGCACCTGTCAGCAGAACAGCGACATGTTTTAGGCATCATTAATGGCGAATAAGTTTGATGTATTCTTAAAAGAAACAGGGAAAAAAGGGATGGAGTAAATTGCTTTCTGTTGCAGCGTCGGTATACAAAGAAAATAGTATAGCTATTTACTACAGGAATAGCAACTGTCAAAACAACTGGGGACAAGGGAGAGATAAAGAGGTTGCGATTGATCATTGGATCAGGACTGAATATAATCATCAAGTTGGGAAAAGTGGTAACACATTAGAGGACGGAAGAAATCAAAAAATGGGTTGTTGAGATATTACCGATGATAACCTCTATTTTCCAGTTCAACGTATTGCCTGCAAAAGCAATCAACGAAGCAGAATTCTTAGAATATTAACTATACATATATCTAAAGTATAAGCTTCTAAGAAGTCAACTTACTACACCACACATAAGTAGAAGAAACCTCCACTGCTGTTTTTTGAAAATTTCAAGAATTACTAAAAGTGAAAATGTTTCTACAGAAGTACCATGGTCACAGGTTTGGGAACGAGGACCGTCTCTGCAAAAACAGACAAATTCATTGTTTTTGAATCCACAGCGCCCGCTACTCTTCTCACAATTGCTGCAATTTTGTGCAGTCCAATTCAAAAGAACCCCCATCTTCAAGATTTCAGTGTAGTTCATTCGCAACAAGGCCTCGACACCAACTGCCACATCAACAGGCAAATTCACCGGAGACAGGCATGAGTCAAATGAGTAGTTCATGTCCTCCACTACCTCCTTGTGAAAAATAGCAAATGAATGATGGCTGGCATTGCTAGCACAGTCAATTGGATATGGATGCGTGTACTCTTTAGGCTCTTTGTCGCAATTGTAGAAGAAGGAAAAATCAATATGATCAGAAGAACTATAACTGAATGGTGTTCGATCAAGGCTAAAGTTGTGCAGAGGGAGTGGACATTTATCATGATACACAACAGCGTTGGCCAGCACGAATGAATGGTTTGAGTAGAAGATATCTTTAATGATATAATCATCGTCAGAAATACTAAGTACTGGATTTTCTCCATCGCAGGCGGTCTTGAAGCTCGGGTAGCCACAGAAGGACTCTTGTCGATCAGAAAGCCAAAAGGGGTAGCTTATATTCGGACCATTTCCACATGTTTGAGGCTTGCAGGTCTCGTAGCTTTGGTCTAGAGAGGAAGTTTGCTTGGCTAAGGTTGTGAAGATAATGGTGATAATACATACATGGAAAGGTATTTTGCCTTTGAAGTGGCTTTGGAGAAGGAGATACATTTGGAGTGGATGATCAAGAAACAGAGAGAAAAACAGAGAAGAAGGCATATAGTGAAATTAATGAGAAGAAACAGAGAAGAAAGCATATAGAAACGAACAAATGGTGGAAAATTCTTGGTAGTAGGCATCTGATTCTATGATTGGAGTTTGAAAAAGAGGAGACTGACTAAACAAACCAATGGTTTAAGCAATAGCCACATTATCAGTTAACGTCTGACTAGATAATCAACTTAACGGATTATTTAAATTGGTCAAATTTAAAAACTATGGTGTGTAAATTGATGAAATTGAAACTCGGAAGCCCATATTAAGAATGATCCCAAATCTTTATGGCCTCTTTTGACGTTAACGGAAAAAAAACTATTGGCATCCTAATTATGTTCCAGGACAGGAATAGCATTTGGTTGGGCTGGTCTGATGAGAGTACTAGCTAGACATGATTAAGTTCATAACACGTTAATTATCATGTTCAAACTTGAAATTACTAGTTTTGCTTGGACAAAGATAGGTGAGGTGAGGTGTGTTAGAATTTTCACGACAATGCGAGAGAAAGAATGGCTGTTGACTTCTCGGAAAAGCTACTGACAATTAGGACCCGTTTTTCATGAGCTTTGGGTCGATGACTTCTGGTCAATGATGGAAAAATCCTTAGTCACATTTATCCGTTTAAAACATCCATATTCCAATTCCATTAATTTAATATTCCATTTGTGTCATTGTGAGATACATTCATTCAGATTTATTTTGAGACAGGCAAGGCATGTTAACGTATCAGTAATGGAAAAAGTAAGAAATCAGATAATTTAGGAATTGGAGAACTACTGAATCGGTATGGGAAGAATAATTCACATTAAGCTATTTATTAAACATATGGAATTAGCAAAGGAATGGGATTGATTCCCATTGTTATTGTTTACTAATTTGCATGAATCAAAATCCAAATTAATTTTAGAATTATGGTAAAGTGGTAAGGGTATTTTTAGAAGTTATTAAGAGAAAACAGGAATGAGAATCGTATCGACTACTCCTCTCTAGTTGATATAATACCTAGTTTTGAGGGAATGTGATTACGGATTTTGAGGTAGGGCCCACTTATTTTTTCATTTGTGATTGCAAGTAAATGCAGGGGAAGTCAGGAATGGAAATCATTCCATTTCCTCTCATACTCATTACTGATACATAAACATTTTTTTTTTTTTAATCTTTAATTTAAAAGTGTGATATTTGGAACTTGTGGTCTGGTCTATACTTACGTTGTTGGGTCGGTGAAGCTCATCATAAGAAAGCCCAAAAGGAAGCCACACAAAATATGGCCATGACTTGAACGGATAACCCTACTAAGACCAAACAAGACAATCGGCGCCCTTTAGAGCATGTCCAGCGCGAGAGGCCTGCCAGGGCAACTGGCCCCTTGAGAGCCCAAATCCGCCTCCAGTGCTACCAATCCAGTCTGGGCAAGCCCAAGGGTAGATCCTGCCTGGGCTCAAGCCCGAAAGCGCTGACGTCAGGGAGTGAAAAAAAAATCCAAAAAAAAAATAAAAAAATTATGGATGTTTTCCCTATTAATACATAGCAATTTTATTCACTTTCTACACCAAATCCTCATACAAACTCTTCTCCTTCCAATATTTGTAAATTGTAATCATTTTTTTTCTTGCACTTGTAAATTGTTTCTATTTTCTTTCATATTTATTTTTTTCTTGCATAATCATTTTATTTCTTGCATTTCTAAATTGTTTATATTTTGTTGCATAATCTTTTTTTTTCCTTGCCATTACCCTTGCCTTTGGGGGTGAAACCAAAAAAGGCAAGTGAATAGTGGCAGCCATTGTCTTACCTTTGCCTTACCCTTGTCTTTTGGAGTGGAGGTGCTCTTACATAGAGGAGGGCCATTCCTTTTTAGTAAATTTAGGTTTTAGCCAAAAAAAAAATTTCACTTTTGAAAAAAGCCAAAACTTTTTCAAAAAAGACAGAAAAACCTCTCAACTTTCAAATCAAAGACATGCAAATGTAAAGGATTCCTTAGGAAATCCAAAAATAAATAAGGGCAATTTTGTACATTTTGACTTCTTTTAAAAAATTTCTCTCTTCTTTGTCTTTTTACGAAGTCTCCCTTCTTTTTTTTGTTGAAAATTGAAATCTAATAGGTAGGGCCATTCAGATCCAACTATCCGATACGCGACCCCGAGACGCGAGGGTTCTGACCTCGCTCTCTCTCGCTTGCTCTCTCTGTTTTGGCATTCGGCTCTTTGCTTCGTCTAACAGGCAGTGGATGCCTCTACAGTAATTTTGTAGTATATTTTGCAATATATATTGGCTTATATTGCATTCACTTGAAGCATTATTTTGAGTTGTGCAGGTTCCTTATTTCCCTTGTCTAAGCAGACTATAGGTCAGTTGATGAGATCGTCTTTTACCATGCTTTGAAACTTAGATCTTCAAGTTTGAGAACCAAGTTGGGATCAAAACATAAACAAAGCTGAAACCTACTCACTGGAGTCCCAATTGTTCTACACCTCAGTTCAAATGTCGTGCAGAATAACTTCCAATCCAATGTTTAGAAAATGCAGATTGCAAATCTGTAGTTTATCACAAGTTCTTCTATATTCAAAATAGTGCTTTCAGGAAAGGTAAATTAGTGCTTTACCTCTCACGTGAGCAACAAAGTACAAAACAAGATTGAGCTATGACCAAAAAGAAAAATGCGAAAGGGAAAATCTTATTAGAATGACTTTAAAATTGACTAGGAACTGAATCATCCAAAAGATGTACACCAATTAAGAAAAGATATTAACATATAAGTGAGAAGGTGGAAGATTCTGATTCTGCTGGTGTTCTTATAGGAGAAGTTAGGAAAGGCTTTGGTGGTATTTGCAAGGCTTCAATGCTTCCTTCCAGCATTTCAATCACCTTACTCATGGATGGCCTATCTGATGGCTTTGTCTGTATGCACCACAACCCCACCAAAATCATCTTCCTTGCAAGTTCATTTTCCTCTTGGGTCATAGGATTGGGCAATCCTAAATTGCTGCTGCCCTGCTCTAGATGCTTATAAATCCAATCCGGAAAAAAAGCATCAGTGGTGTGGCTCACTTGAACATCGCTGTTCTTTCTTCCTCCAGCCACCTCCAGAATCATCATTCCATAACTATAGACATCAGACTTAACAGAGACTCCTCCAAAGTTTCTACAGAACACTTCTGGAGCTATGTACCCTATTGTCCCTCTTGCATCCAACATCGACATAATACTTTCCTTCAGGCAAAGTTTAGAAAGCCCAAAGTCAGAAATCTTTGGGCAAAAGTTGTCATCCAAAAGGATATTATGTGGTTTTATGTCAAAATGCAAAATTCGTGTGTTGCATCCACGGTGCAAGTACTCGAGCCCTCGAGCTATCCCAATAGCAATTTCAAATAGTTTTTCCAGTTCCAAGTGTGGAGTGGTTTTCAAAGAAATTTCTTTGTAGATGAACTTCTCAAGTGATCCATTGGGCATGAACTCATATATGAGAGCTTTTTTCTGACCTTCAAAGCAATACCCCAACAGAGTGACAACATTAACATGGGAAGTTCTACTAATGCTTGCAACCTCGTTTATGAAGTCTTCTCCATTCCCTTTGGATGCATTAAGAACCTTCACAGCCACAAGACAACCATCCCGTAGCTTACCTTTGTACACATCACCATAACCCCCTCGACCGAGTTTATCTTTAAATGAGTTGGTCATTTTTCTGATATCCGAAAATTTGTATCTTTTTACTGCTAGAGGTCCATTGTTCTGAATGAAGGCCTCAAGATCTTGATGGCTCTTTGTCCTCATGAAAGTTTGCATCCTACTTTTAATACAGCAAACAATTACAGAGAGTAAGATCCCACTTGCTGCAGCAAAAGCACCTGCCAGCAAAACCACGAGATGTTTTAGGCACATTAATGGTGAATAAGTTTTAAGTATTCTTAAAAGAAATAGGGAAAAATGAGATGGAGGAAATTGCTTTCTGTTGCAGCGTTGGTATACAAAGAAAATAGCAGCTGTGCAAACAACTGGGGACAATGGGAGACATAAAGAGGTTGCGATTGATAGTTGGATCAGGAGTGAATATAATAATGCGTTGTTGAGATATTACCGATGATAACCTTTCTTTTCCAGTTCCACGACCACGAATTGTCTGCAAAAGCAATCAAACAAGCAGAATTCGTAGATCAGCCAAAACGTAGCTACCAAATATTTTGCTTTTTAAATTTATACTTGCTTCAAGTAGAAATCTAACGCGACAAAGCTTCTGAAGAAAAAAAAACAAAAAAACAAATACGAAGACAAAGCTGGGGGGTGGGGAAGAAATATGCACCCCATTAAGGCGACTCATAAGTCATAACCTTGCGGCAATTCGATTCGACTAATAAAGATGTGTTGCACACAAATCAAAGTAATAAAAGATGATATGCATACCACCCAAAATTGGACAGGTTTCCTCATGGGTTGTCCTTATTTTATTTTTATTTTATCGACGGGGAAGGGTAACCAGTCAAATAGCATCACTTAGTGCAAGGTTAACTGTTCTTAACTACTTGTAGTTTAACGTAATAGTAATCTTGCACCAGTAAACCTAATCTCTATCAGAAGTGGAGAAATTGTATGCGGACTTATTATTATGGGGCCAAGGTTGGCGTGCAGCAGTGTGAACTATTTGAAATCAACAGACGCCTTATTGAATTCCATTATTCTCTGGTGGACCGTTGACCCGGTCAATGCATACGTGGCATTTACCAACCATGTTAGCAGACCTTATGGGTTGTCCTTATTTTATTTTTATTTTATCAACGGGGAAGGGTAACCAGTCAAATAGCATCACTTCTGGTGTCTATGTTCACTCAGGGAAGGTTTATATGCAACCAATATCTGAATTCAGATGGAAATGGAATAGGAAAAGGCTCTAATTAACCAACAAACTCAAGATGAAATAAAAACAGAGCAAAGATAACAAAACTTGTTGATGAGGTAGAGGCTAAAGCAGAGCAAAGAGAATGACTTGGGACAGACAAAAGGATCATACGTTTTAGTTCTCTGTAATTATAATTACTTAACTAATCATTTCTTCTATGGGGGGTTAATTACAACTTATTCAGCCATCCCATTTCTAATTAAAAGTTCGTAATCTGAAGTGGTATCTCCAAATTCTGACTAATTAATGGAAACTCCAAACTAAAAAAGGCTAAACCAGGAAAATTATGAACAGGGAAAAATAAGAAGGAACTGACATGCGTACCTTCAGAATTTGGACAGGTTTCCTCATAAGGATGGCCCCCGCAAAAGCAGAGAAAAGAGTCAGTGGTGATGTTGGATCCGCAGGTTCCATTAGAGCGCATGCATGGCCCACAGAGCTCCCAGTTGGCCTTGTACTCAACCTTGAAGCCTTGCTTCAAAACTTGTTGCAGTCCGTCCACCGTGCGATTCTGATGCAGAAGATCAACACCCGTCCACATTATGGGGACACTGATATTGTTGAAGCACAAGGTCTCATTCTGATGAGGAGTAAGCCTCGAGATAGATTCGTCTATATAGAACGCACGATCCTTTTGGGTACCCTCTATTTTGCAAGTAAAATTATTTGGGACTGTCTCCCTGTTAGGAACGCATCCGTAGTACAAAGTCAGGTTCCGGACAGCTTGAACGTAAGCGAAACGATCGTAGTCCAAAGTGGTGTTGACGAGCCTGCTAGGGCAAGGACTGTCCCAGAGGTCTAGGCGAGCAATTGTGATGATGTAAACTTCCTTGCTAATGTCCAAGACAAGGAAATCTTGGTCTTCAATTCTGATAACAGTGTTTTGATCATCTAGGCAGGTGAGTTGGTAGCCTTCTCGCCCGCAGTGTTGGGGCCGACCGTTGGCTGCCCAGAAAGGGTAGGTTATGTTTTTAAGCAAACCGCAGTCGTAGGTATTGCGGCACTCTGTGTATTGAGCAGCGTCATCGCAGAGAGCAGAGGGCATCAACGTTGTGATCAAGTTGAAGATGATGAAGAGGATGGGTAGTCTTAGGAAGATGTGGGCTGTGGGCATGGTCATCTGCAGAAGCTCATGAAGAAAATTAGAATTGGAGAATCAGAATGATGATGAGCTGGTTCGGTATAGTCATTCGTAGAAAGCTCATGGAGAATCAGAATAGAATTGGGCTGGTGAGATGATAAGCTAGAATCAGAATAGAAGTTTCAAAGGTGTTTCTTAGAATTTTCCCGACAATGCGAGAGAAAGAATGGCTGTTGAGTTTTCTTCTATGAGCTTGGTCCTTTGTGTGAGTGATTTTGGTCAATGGACATTTCTCCGTTGACGAAATTAATGTGCTAATTATTATTTTAAGATGGGTTGGAGTCAGTGAAGCAAGAGGCGACTGATTTCCCATTTGGTTACCACACAGACTAACGGTCCAGGTAGTCCAGATTGATGAATGCGCAGGTCATAAAATCTGTAGAGCTAACTCAACCTGATTGATATTCGAGTTAGGTTATTTGGTGCATTATACTTTACATAAGCAACCGAAAAAAAAGCGCAAAATGAGCACCACGATGAATGTACATTTTGTTGCCTCTCCCACATTTTCTCTGATATTCCAATGCCTAAAATCTGGTGGTTTTAAAAATATCATTGAAAAAAGTTACTGTTAGCCAATTATTTGGAATAAGCATAAATGTAGGAAAATGCATAAAGTTGTATATATTTGTACCCTTCTTAGCTTTGACCGGTCAACCACAAACAACTTCAAAAAGTCTTGTACTGTGCTAATGTTCTCCTAGGCTAGCTTCTTGTGAAAAGCTCCATCTTTCCCAATCTTCTCCAGGCGCCAAACTTCATCTTCCAACATGGGTGGATGATGCTTCTTGTACACTTCACATAAAAAATCTGGGATTTGGTTGCTTGCTTGCTTGCTTGCTACTTGGATTAATTTCTTACAAGACTCACAGATACATGCAGTAGAATAAAATTTGTATGCAGCTAGGCACGTAACTCCAAAATGCATGAGATAATTCTGGCAACATCAATAGGATCAACGTTTGCAAGACTGCACGCAGAGGAAATCAAATTATTAGAATACCCTTAGACCCGAATCATCGATCCTCTGATATATATATATATATATATATATATGCCACAAATATTTATCAGAAGGGGAATACTGCCACTCTTTATGGGCCGTGTTAGTGGATTTTCACAGAATGCATCCAATCATTTAACTCAACCACCAAGACTACAACCAAATATTTACACAGACAATGCATCTAACATAGTCCTTGAAATGGGCTATGTTTCTTCAACCGACACAACTACAACCAAGCACACAGAATACAGATTGCTTTCAAAAATAAACACAGAAAAAATTTGAAAGCATGCCATGTCCTAAACTCCTATGTGCCGTATCAAATACAAAATGCTTCTCTACATGTCTTTAACATATGAATGCATCCCTCCTTCAAGAATTATGCCACTGAAATAAGCTTATGAACACAGACAATCTCATTGTTCCAATCAGGTAGGTCCTAAAATGAAGGAGCTAAAAGAAAGCTAATCCGCAATGTTTGACAGCAGTAGTGGGAAATCACTTCAAAAGCCTCAAGACATGGATTCAACCATTAGCATCTTACCAGCTCTTAATTCATTGATATAGAGAACTGGAAAACAATCAATTAAAAATTGATACGTAAGTACTTACAAATGCAGTTGCCTTCCCCTTGCTGTTTCGATAAACTCTGGATCTGCAAAAAAATGAAAGCAAACATGTTCCTCAATGTATATATGAGACATAGCAAACAATGTATATATAATTATAATGAGCATAATGGTATGATTAGTGAACCATACAGATTCTATCATCAGATAACAAGATAATTAACCAATCCAACCACAAAATGAAAGCCTAGCCAGCCAAGTATTGAAGCACTACCTATGGATAAATTTTAAAATACATATAAAAATAAAAGAAGAAAACATCTGACCCATCATCGTCATCTGGCGGAATTCGTCTTTTAACTCGTCTCTCTTCTTCCTCTTGTGCATTACTCAGTTAAAACAACAGTTACCATGAGAAACAAATACAGAATATTACCTTTCGAAAGTTAAAAGAATTAACCTCATCATCTTCATCTTCTTGACTCAAGACCTTCTTCCTGAATCGTTTCTTATGGGAATCAGATTTCCTGGACTCATAAACAACCTGGACAGAAGATCTATCGACATCATAGTCATCTTCGTCATCTGTATCCAAGAGATGAAGATGATGAGGATGTATTCTGCTGCTTCACCAAAATGGCAGCTTCCCTCTCTAGTTTCTGATATAGCCTGATATACACGAGTAACAAGCACGAAAGCCACGATGCTATAGACAGATAAAACTGGAGGCTAAAATCCTAAGTCTACACAGTCATTTAATTTGGAATAAGAACTCACATTCAAACCAGATTCTTTACGGGGCACTCTTGCGAAGATGTCTTCAGCAAATGCACTTGTTTCGGCCGAAGAGGACAACCCAAATTCTTTAAGAGGGTCGCGGCCTGGTGGTGGTCGTCGCGGGTGGAAGCCTGGTGGTGGTGGTCTGAGAGAGAGAGAAAATGAGGCGACGGCTCAGAGGGAGGTCTTTTATACTCTTGGTAGTTTGGGTTAGGTTGGGTTCTGCAAGTGAGTGGCTTGTGGATTTCGTCTTTAGGTCAATAGTTATTATATATATATATATAAATTAATTAATTAAAATATGGAACGAAACCCATGATAAGTGATTACAAAAAACTGTAAATGGAGTTGTAATTTTGTTTATGTTGTATGTGATGACATTGGGTACACAAACAACCCTTAAGGCGACATGTTCATTTGTACTCAAGTTCAATATCCTTTCTCGTATATTTAAGTAATTTAGAATATCGTTTTTTCAACACCAAGAAAAAATAATAATAATAAGTGATGCTGATTTTATCATCACTTTATAGTAAAAATTCAGAAAAGGGCATTGTTTTGTTTATAATTTTTCTTTTCTTTTTTTTTGTTTTAAAGACAAGTTTTGTCTATAAACATTATATCATCACATAAAATAGAAATAGAGAATCATAATTAGTTTCATAATACATATTTACATAAGCAAAAAAAGGAAAATGCAGATAGAACCAACCCCTTTGGTTTGGTAATGAAAGGGCTTGAGATGCTAAAGTAAATCGCCATCTGAAGATGAGTCGGAGATGCTACACTTGATGATGCTGCTTTCCACAAGTGGGTTGAATATATATGGTGAATTTATATTCCAGTTATCACTACCAGTACTGCACTCAAAGTTGGAGCTTGCACTATTGCTTGGTAGTAGGTAACCCACGTTGACAGATTTTGGGTGATGATCCGCTGCTGCCAGGCCCAGGTGTCCATTCTGATCGAATGCTGATCTTGGCATTGCCTCGGCATGATGGTTGGGATACTGCTCCACTACTTGATCACCTATTAAATCAAGGGTATGTCCCAAATTAAATTTTGATTTGGAGGAATGTGACGGAAAAACTCAATTGGCACCATTTAGAGAGTTGGAGAATCAAATTGACTCATAAAAAATGTTCAATTAGCCACTTCAAAAGCGGTGCAAGTTGAGATACCACTGAAATTGAAAACTAATCATAATATACCTTGTGTCAATAAAGCAGTCTCGACCATTTCCAAGGAATTCCAGTTTGCGTAGGCTTCCCTCACCAAATTCTCAATATATGTCTGCAAATTTAAACACCACGTATAGTTTAGCAAACGAATAACACAACCTAAAAAGGATTATTGCTAAAGAAGAAAAGAAGAAGATTGTGCATACCCTATTGATGTTGCTTAGGTCCCGAATAGGAAAAACTTGCCCATTAACCATAGCCCTCAACACTTGACATATCGGATTCAAGAAAAGCGCAAAATGAGCACTACGATAAATAAACATTTTGTTGCCCATAACACAGGTATTGGCATGCTTTACTGTTACCTCCCACATTTTCTCTGACATTCCAACGCCTAAAATCTATCGTTGCAAACAAGTTGATGTTAGCCAATTATTTGCAACAAGCATGAAGGTAAGAAAATGCATAAATAAAGTTTTAGGTATATTTGTACGGTACCTTTCTTAGCTTTGACCGGTCAACCACAAACAACTTCAAGAAATCTTGTACTGTGTGAATGTTCTCCCTGGCTAGCTTCTTGTGAAAAGCTCCATCTTTCCCAATCTTCTCCAGGCGCCAAACTTCATCTTCCAACATTGGCGGATGATGCTTCTTGTACACTTCGACATCGAAATTTGGGATTTGGTTAGATTAATTTCTTACTAATTACGAGACTCACAGATAGATATTTTGATGCAGCTAGGCACGTAACTCCAAGCCATGACATGTAGAAAAGTTTTGCACTTTGAGAATTACAAACAAGAAAAGACAAATCGAACCTCTTCCCGATCAACTTGGTCATTAACTTGTTTAAAGGGGCATATCAGGGAAAGAAAAACAAAGCATAAAGGCTACCATTGACCCAAGTCACGAAGATGAAGACAGGCCTGACGCGTACACGAAAGTACAATTATTGAACAAAGAAATATTTGATTGAATTGTGACCATATGAAAAAGCAGATGCAGACCTCTAGGTTGTTTGTTGACTCAAATAATGTTCACTAGTTTTTGGCAACTTTAGCAACATGCATGAACTTAAAGAAATGGCCGTGGTCCCATTGCTCTAGAGGTCGCAGACTGTTCGACTCGCTGTGTGAATACATGATCTTTTGATACAATATTGCATTGTATTGTGTTTGTGATGATTGACTTCGATAAAACTATCAAGTCAAGTGGGTTGGTAAGGTTTTTTTTTTTTTTTTTTTTTTGGTCAATGGTTTGTAAGGTTATGTGCATGAAAAAAATATATATATTTTTTTAAATGCATAGTAAGAAGCAAAAATGTATGAAGATATACCCTAATATATGGGCTCGTTTAGTACTTAGGATGTAAATATGAAATCCAATTCAATTTTAAGCACCGAACGAGACATGTATACTTACATTCTCCACGATGATCTTTAACAACAAAAGCATCGGTGATGGCCTCACGGATCCTTGAGCCCTGATAGGCGCTTGTGCCTGGAGCCACTCTTGCACCAATCCTAAACTTTCTGCTCCTAATCCAGCTGGAATTATCTGTGAACTCAATCTCCCCAATTGTAGTAAGCCCATCTCTCACGGTCACATTTACGTCCCCAGTGAGCAACGGCCTCTTCCCAGTTCTCTCCCTCAATATGTTGTTCTCAAATTCTTCAGTGGTCCAATCGTCACGGCCTCCGGTCGGGAAGTCCCCGTCAAGAACAACAATCTCCACTTTGATTGGGTTGGTTAGATCGCTAGCTATTGGGGCACCATTAGTGTTATTGGTCTTGTCCACGATCTGGATTTGAATTGAGTTGTTGTCTTCATCTAATATCTTGCTTGCGGTGAAGATTGGGAGGGAGAGCTTCTTAGGAAAGACTAGTTCCACGCTGGATGGCTCTAGAGCTTGGATTCTCACTGAAGGCGACCTTGTCATTGAGCGGAGTGAGCACCGTCTTAGACAGTGGTCAACCTCTTCACTTACCTAAATAAAACAGACCAAAATTAAATTAGCAAAAAGATCGATATGATTAATTAAGCTCATATAATTAGTTAAATAGAGAAAAGGCTTTGCATATATATAACGTACCACTCTTCTAAGCAAAGGCTCCAAGGATGAGAAAAGGCTTTGCATGGAGTTCACCAGAACCACTTCTCCAATCACACTGTCAAACGAATAAGCATATGCAATTATAACAAGTAGTTAGAAATCAAACAGTTGAAGGAAATCAAAGATATAAAAAGAATATCAAAACGAAAGAAGAAGAAGTTGTAGTTAGACATACGAAGCAAAAGAAGGTCTAGGTCTCTTCCGTTTTTCGTTTGGCTGATCTTGGTCTGATTCTGCATCATTAAAGAACCGTTTGGCTGCCATTTTCTCAGTTCCAAAGAATCAGAGAGAGAGAGAGAGAGAGAGAGAGAGAGGGTGATCGATGAAGTATTTTTGGGGGTTAGGGATGTCACTTATGCCATGGCTTTATATATCTACAAGGTTTGTAAACGAACAAAGAATGATGAGCAAAATATTGATGGGTTGGTAGAATAAAATAATATAAAAATGAAGGTTCTGGGAATGGCCAAGGAAACAGCTAGGTAGGAGAGAAACGAGATGGCCTTGGTATGCATGACGCTGCACTTTTGACGTCAACAATTTATATTTATTTGCTTCATATTCCAATCAAACCCTGTCTCTTCTATTTGGTCTTGGTCATATTGTCATTATTGATAGGGTCCTCCACTGATAACAAAGTCAAAAGTCCCACGGCCGAGATGTATGCATCGTCACCGAGGGGTGCCAACAATCAAACTATATCAACCGTTAGATCTATATATATACATGCATGCATGTGATTGGTCACACCAATTTAGTAAATTAATTAATTTTTATATGCGGAAATGTTTGGGGCAGAATAGCCGTGTAGTGCAAGTACAAGGATGCTAATTTTGGTCAATAACTGCATTTCTGAGAAGGATCTAATTCGTATTCATGTAGGGCCCCTTTAGGCTAAGATGGTGATGTTTTAAACATTATTATATGATTGATTATAGATTAATAACCAGAGAGATGCCCCATGGTGTGATGGTAAGACCAAAAAAGACAGAGACGCATATTATCTCACTTTTTTTTTTGGATGAATCCAGGGTAATCCCCCGCAATTGTAGGCGAGGACTAATCCCTCGAGCAGGGTTGGACCCCATTTGGGGGGCAAGCTCTTTCAATGATGACTCGAACTCGAGACTTTGCTTAAGGGGAACAAGCTCCTTACCACTTGAACCACACTTTCCTTTTCATTGTTTTAATTCAATATATTTTGCAAGTGGCAGTGCATGGGTGCATGTGAAAATGTGAAGAAGGAACTGAACTGGTACTTGGAGACATAACCAAATATGTCGATCAATGTTAGGTTTTGACTGTCTCTGATACATCATATATCACAGATCACAACAAAATTAAGCTAATTATCGAGCAAGACCAAGTCTATTGCGTTCTCAGTTTTCCTTTGACTGACTGAACGCAAAAAGAAAAGTTTTCTTTTGAAGTTTGGAGGCACTTTCCCAAGTCCCGACTGCACTGGTTATCCGAAATGGCCAAAAAAGTTCGCAGAAAGAACCAACCTATTTCCTCTCTCTATATACACTGCGTTTGACTCAATATATATATTATAAATTACTCATTCTTTCTAGGATTTATTGAATATAATTGTTCCATACCATACGCCTTTCATAGTTCGCATAGCAAGTACTACTTTTTTCTTCTTTCGCTTTCACAGTCACTCAATTTTACATCTTGCCATTATATTTTTTTTCAGTTTGGAGGTTGATTCGACTCAAGAAGTCCAACACCACCACACCCACTACAACGTCATTGTTTGGACCCAACACTTTTCGCGCAAAAACAACGAAGACGACAATGTGCTTATATCTTGGAGTTTTTGACAAAGTTGTCTAGAATTGGGCATTGTGATTAGAAGGGGTAACAAAAGAGAAAATGTCAAGAGGTGGATGGTACAAAATATCACTCTATATCACAACTATCTGGATCAATCAACTTATACACCTCCAACTGCCCCAACCGAAAGGGGAAAAAAACACACAACACACACAAACATTTTCTAGAGCTTCGCCCCTCTAATGTGTTTTCAAAGGATAACTTATAAACATAAAAAGCCAAAAAAATAAAAATAAAAATAAAACAAAACCTACTGACCCTAAGCTTTATTAGTTTACAGAGAAATGAATGATGAACAAAAAATCTTGACTGCGAAAAATCAATTGAATTTCATGAGCTTCGGGCCAAACCTCAGCAGCCTATCCAAAGTGTTGGGCAAGAATTTTCTGGCAAACAAGTGGCAAACATCGGTGCTCTTCCCATTGTACTCGCATTTCGTTCCATGCCTCAGCTTCTCCAAAAACTCAACAGTCACATCTGTTCTCATAAACTTGGACGGATGGGGCCCACCCCTTGACCAGTCAACCCAAGTCAACGTCCGATTCGAATTTTTATTCCGAAACTTGATGTTCACGTACGTAGGCAAGTAGTGCTCGTCAGAATAGCACGAGGGCTTGCAGTACTTTGTAAACAGTGGAAAATACTTTTGATCGGAAACCATCTCCACCGCAATCACACGGTCCACCTCGAACCACTGCGAGCCCTTCCGCCATTGGCCGAGAGTGATTTGTGGGCTCATTTTGGGCCTGTACCTGTCTCGGCCCACTGGGCCGGGTAAGTCGTAGACCTCCACGAATGTCTGGGTTGAGCCCATCAGATAATTGTAGATGACTGAGAAATTAAACAGCGGTATGCAAGACTCCGAGAGCAGCACAAAACGTTGGTTGGAGAAGTCAAGCAAGGCATTGGCTAATAGGCGTCGCTCTGCTTGCACCATGTTAGGCTCACCCCATGTCACATTCTGCACCGTTGAACACATTGAGTTATTTACTACCACACCAATGATATTATGATGTGATACTGATTAAGGAAGATGCACTCGTAGAATTTGTCGTGTTATATTGTCATACTGTCATTTATTTTATTAATAAAATATATGAAGACTTTAAGTTGATGGTGGTCAGATATTTTGTAAGAATACATGACTCGACTAGCTTTGGATCATTTTTCGACCGACTTTACCTCGACCAAAGAATTATGACGTGTTACATTTTGTTACTTCCTAAGTACTTAAAGAACGAAACTAAGGGCATTCTTGCCTTCCTTTGTCGGCTGCATTCGATGGGATGAGTGAGAGACAACATTACGAAAGGAATTTAGAAAGGTGATGAGATAGAATTCTGAATTCTGTCTGTTGTTACAGTTCCAAAAAGAGTAGAATCAAAGCAATGCATGATGAAACAGATTGAATTCACCACTCAATGCATATGCCAACTTTAGAAGTGAATTAAAGTAATTGTATCACTACATATAGCCCATCACGACTCCATAACTTTATAGGTGTCCCAGCTTTAGCTATTCCCCCAAATAAAATCTGATTCATTGGTCAAAACTTGGCAGGACAAAACTCCACATACACAGGTTTCTCCCATGTTGTTATGTCCAATCATTTCTAGACATGCATCAGCCACCCCAAATTATTATAGTAAGATTTCAAAGACTAAGATCTGCTTAGGTACCTTAAAATATATTAGTTATTAATAATCATAGACTAAATTAAGTTAATATGTATCGTATCATTCGATAGGCATAGTAAATTATGTAGACAAGGAATGTCAACTATCAAATATTATATTGCAGTTTCCTTTTCGAAAAAAAATTATAAATAACTTTTGGAGAAGAGAGAAGAGCTTAAAGTAATTAAGGCTGTATTGCTTTTTATGGACAAACCTGGCGCAATACGGAATGGTCCTCCAAAGACTTGCTATGCAGTATGTATCTAATGCAATAATAATATCATAAAACAAGGGCATCAAATTCTCCATCTCTTCTATATGCAATGACCTCAATGGCTCAAAATCTCAACCAAAACCAAATTGATTTTACATCCCTCCAAAAGGTATGTAAAATCATATATATATGTGTAATCCTAACTAATTAATTTCTAAAGAAATAACTGAATTTTCATCATTTCTTTTTTCAATATACAAACATCCGCTTTATGTTTTTCTTTTCCTATGTCACTAGGAAATCGGGACATCTTCTAACGTTTTTTTTTTTTTTTTTTTGTAATAAAAAGTTAAGGGGAGGGAGATGCTATCCCCACACCCACAGCCAGGGCAAATCAAGACCTTTTCGGATTTAACACTGTTGGAGCGACACACAGTGCAGGGACCTTACCAACTGAATCAACCCGTGTATTTCTTAGTTGGTTCGTATTTTCTTTTTCTTTTTCCAATTTTAATTGATGAAGCATAACGCATACCACTCCTAACCATCAGTATTTAATTTCTTAATAAAAACAAAAACATGCACACACAAAATCCTAATTATAGTGTGCCGGAATTTAATTTGCTATTTTCACATAAAAGTCATCATGTTGGTTGGTTTGGTGCTACGAGTAATCTAATGGGTTTTGATCACAGATTTTGTTCTCTCTTAAGAATGAAATGCACTAGACATTAGACTAATTATGAATCAAAATGAATTAATGAAAAAAAATCAAGGAAAATAATGATTGCAACATGGATGAACTGACCTTACTTGGGACCCTTCTGCCATAAAAAACAGAGTTTTGAGGCATGGTATCGTTGAAATCCGGATTGGCGTGGACATAGATAGAGTAGAGCCCTTCATGGCCTTTGAAGAACATTTCCCAGAACGGAGCCAATGCCAGAGGCCCTCTTGTCAAGAACATGAACGCCACTTTTGGGGTGCGCTTGAACGGCAGCCCAGGCCGGCGAGGCACCAGTGAAGCTCTCCACAGCAACTCAGCGTCGTCCATGTCGTGCATAATGTTGGGTGGCTTTGTGTATTCTTTTAAGCCGATTGGCGGTGGGGGAGGCGCAGCAGAAGTTTTGGTTTGATTATTTTGGATATTGAGAGTTGGCAGCGGCGGTGGTGGTATTGGTGGTGGGGCAGAAGAGAATAACAATGGAGGGTTTGATGAGCGAGAGTATTTGGCTTGGGTGGCGTAGAGCTGGAAGGGAAAATCCTTGAGGTAGAAACTGATGGAGACGCCGATGGCTAAACCGAAGGCGAAGATGAAAAAGTTGGAGATGATTTTATGGAGGTGTATTTGGACATTGAGGAAATGCTTGGGAATTGATGAGGGTGGTTGCTGCTGCTGCTGCTGCTGCTGCTGCTGCTGCTGTGGTTTGTTCTTCATTTTGGAGTGATAATTAGAAGAGAGAGAGAGAGAGAGAGAATGAGAAGTCGAATGGTTTGAAATGAATGAAATGTGGGTTGCTCTTCTTGAAAGATTCTTAAATTGATTTGATTTCATCACACTAGTATATGAGTGTGTGTGTATATATATATATATATAATATTTTTGTTAACATGAAAGGTCATGGAGAATTAAATTAACCAAATAAAAACAAAAACAATGACTGTCATAATTAATTAATAATTATACAGAACAGACTTGCTTAAAATTTAAAAATGAGGAACCAAAGACACGAGTTGGGCTTTCCTTGA